CAAAAACATAAAATACAGTGTTGGCTACCTCATCCTCCTCCTCCACCGCTGCTTCCTCCTCCACCGCCATGGTCACCGCCTCCTCAACCTATGGGTCACTTAGTATAAACTAGGTACACATTAGCAGAGGCTTGTGAAGGCCTATTCACCATGCATCAGGAGTTGAGCATTTCTCCATGCATCAGGACTGCAAGAAATGCACAGCATGCCGCAAATGTTTCTTATTTTATATGTCCCAATATTTTGTGGGCTACCACAATAAAACAAAAACAAATAAAAAACAGTGTTGGCTACCTCATCCTCTTCCTCCACCGCTGATTCCACCTCCACCGCCACGGTCACCGCCTCCTCAACCTATGGGTCACTTAGTATAAACTAGGTACACATTAGCAGAGGCCTGTGAAGGCCCTTTCTCCATGCAGTTGAGCTCAGTTTGAACAATGAAAGAGAATACCCTGCACTCCAACCCTCTCTCAAATGGATAATTCTGGTGATCCTCCTGACAGCCATGCTTTAGATTTTGATTTATGTTCTTCCAAAGCTAAAATCAAAGCTTCCATCTAGTGCTATTTTATGGCTCAGCTGTAATTTTAATTTTTATGTTATTTTAAGTGATTTCCCTATCCACATTTGTTTGCAGGGCACTTGTCCAACTCTTACCCCCATTTTACTTGCTTTTGCAACTCTCTATCTCTTTCAAGGAGTTTTTTAGAGGGATTTTTGTGGCCAAAAGTTTGGGTCCCCATTGACTTCAATGTGGTTCAGGTTCGGGGTCAAGTTCGAACATCCAGGAATCCGCTCAACTCTAACGTGTAGCTATTTGCAGAGAAAAACAAAAATATGAATTTTCATCTTGTGACAACATTTCACTTATTTACTTATCTTAGAATGTTAACCTTCTTCTATCACTCAGTGACAATTCTTCTGCCATCAGTCAGTGACATGAAAAAATTAAGCAATTCAAATAATGGATAGAAAATCACACCTAGTTCTCACAAATATGGACTTCATGGAGTTATAGGGACACTCCAGACCCTCAAAAGACTTTAACTTGCTGAAATGCTGTGTGAAATGTGTCCTCTTTAGTTTTAATTTTAGAAAATGTGCAGTTTTCAATAGAAATATTATTAATAACCTTGTTATCCCCCGCCTTTCCTGCTGTCAATCAGATAACCAGTCCTGTTGCTTCCTGGTTTGATTAGCTCAGTGGAGATAAACTCAAGATGCAGCAATTGCCCAGACCACCAGCCTTGCAAAGACTTCTCATTGAGCTGCATTGGGAAGTCTGTGATTGGACCACCACAGAAAGTCTGGGCGGGGTTAGAAGGAGAGGGACTAATAAAGATTTCAGACAAGATAAATGCAGCTTTTATGAGCTGTTTTTAGATTCACCCAGTTTAAAAAATGCTTAATTAAATGAATGCATTGTTTGATTTTGGGGAATATCTTCTAAACAGTGATATTTATTTATTGTATTTATAATATTTTTACCCATCCCTAGCTGTTAACAAAATATCTCTTCAATTTGTGTTGTATAATTACTTATATATTACAAGATCATTATTATTATGATTATATACATATGTTATAAATACATTGATAATTACTTACAAGTATACATAATTATGTAATGATCATTTGATGCCTACTTGGGTTTTAATTCAGACACTGTTGCACTTTTATATCGTATGAACCTTATGCTCTTAAATAATTTATTCTGAGACGGTTTTGGTCAAAATAGTTGATAACATGTTAGTTAAAATTATTTTATATCTAGCAGACTAGGTGACATAGCTTCCTTTTACTCTGTTTGGTGCACAATGACATGCTAGCTATATAAACAGAAACCAACCCCATTTTCCATGTGTTATATAATGACCGAGTTTTGTTATTCTCTTTTTTTCTATGTCTTTTATTCTTTTTAGACCGCTGTTGTCGGGTTAAGGGAACACAGTGTCCTACATACCTTTCGATAGCCACTATAACAACATAATTTCAATGTTTGAACAAGCAAAGATATCGTTTAAAGAGGCATTAAGCAGGAATCACAGCAAGCTCTTTCACTGTTTATCTATATATCTGTTATATGTTTCAGTGAATGCCTTGCCTTCAATAGAATGTACCTTTAACATGGGTTTCTGAACTTGGAAAGTCGCTGCGTATTCATTACTGTTGGTTATTTAAGACACTAGCAAGGCATCAATCATGCTACAGGACAAAGGTATTACTCCTTAAATCCCAATGTCATAGCATTCTGCCATCCTCTGTTAACAGGTTTATAAATCCTGCACAGAGCAATCTCTGTCTAAGAAACAGATACATATTTTCAGATCCTTTGCTGTGGAATCTATATTTTATCATGGTGGAATGAGGTATAATTAGACTCGCAAGACGAAGCCAGAACTTTGGGTTTGATGGGTAAATGGATTTTTTCATTTTTGTTAATGAGTACATGCTCACAACCCATACAAACTGCTCTGCTCATCTGACATTATCGGTGTGCTGGGAGAGGACCTGGGGAAATAGTTACATAGTTACATAGCTGAAAAGAGACTTGCGTCCATCAAGTTCAGCCTTCCTCACATTTGTTTTTTGCTGTTGATCCAAAAGAAGGCAAAAAAACCCAGTTTGAAGCACAATTTTGCAACAAGCTAGGAAAAAAATTCCTTCTTGACCCCAGAATGGCAGTCAGATTTATCCTTGGATCAAGCAGTTATTACCCTACATTGAAAGATTATATCCTTGAATATTCTGTTCTTGCAAGTATGCATCTAGTAGCCGTTTGAACATCTGTATGGACTCTGATAAAACCACTTCCTCAGGCAGAGAATTCCACATCCTGATTGTTCTTACAGTAAAAAACCCTTTCCTTTGCCTTAGACGAAATCTTCTTTCTTCCAGTCTAAACGCATGGCCTCGTGTCCTATGTAAAGGCCGGTTTGTAAATAGATTTCCACACAATGGTTTGTATTGGCCCCGAATATATTTGTATAATGTTATCATATCCACTCTCAGGCGACGTTTTTCTAAACTAAATAGGTTTAAATTTGTTAACCTTTCTTCATAGCCGATATGTTCCATTCCTTTTATTAATTTTGTAGCCCGCCTCTGCACTTTTTCTAGTGCCATATGTTTCCTTCTTTAGAACAGGTGTCCAAAATTGCACAGCATGTTCAATATGGGGTCTTACCAGTAATTTATAAAGAGGCAAAATTATATTCTTGTCCCGAGAATGAATGCCCTTTTTCATGCATGACAATACCTTACTGGTCTTGGCCACTGCTGATTGACATTGCACATTGTTGCATAGTTTGTTGTCTATAACAATTCCCAAGTCCTTTTCATGTGTTGTTATCCCTAATTCGCTTCCATTAAGGGTATACGTTGCTTGTGTATTCTTTACGCCGAAGTGCATAACTTTGCATTTTTCAACATTAAATTTAATCTGCCATTTGAGTGCCCAGTCCCCCAGTCTATCTAAATCCCTCTGCAGCAAAGTAATATCTTGCTCACATTGTATTGTTTTACAAAGTTTGGTGTCATCTGCAAACACTGAAACATGACTTTCAATGCGGTCTTCAAGATGTTAAATAGAAGGGGTCCCAGAACAGACCCCTGAGGGACACCACTTGCCACCTCTGTCCAGCTTGAAAATTTACCATTAATGACAACTCTTTGTACTCTGTTTTTAAGCCAATGTTCTACCCAAGAACAAGCATTTTCATCTAGACTGATTTCCTTGAGTTTGAACACTAATCTATTGTGTGGAACTGTATCAAATGCCTTCGCAAAATCCAAATAGATCACATCCACGGCACCACCCTGATCTATACTTCTACTTACTTCTTCATAGTTACAATGCACAATGCAATTCTCTGTCCCCACAAGCAAATTGCAACTACTGTCCAGAAGTGTAACTCCCACCAGTCTTCGGTGTGTATATCTATCTATCTATCTATTATTATTTTTATAAAACGCCAACAAGTTCCGCAGTGCTGTACAATGGGTGGACTAACAGACACGTATTTGTAACCAGACAAGTTGGACACACAGGAACAGGGGGATTGAGGGTCCTGCTCAGTGAGCTTACATTTTAGAGGGAGTGGGGTATAGTGACAGTAACAGAGGGATTGAAGGCCCTGCTCAGTGAGTTTACATGCTAGAGGGGGTGGGGTATAGTGACACAGTAACAGTGGGATTGTGGGCCCTGCTCAGTGAGTTTACATGTTAGAGGGAGTGGGGTATAGTGACAGTAACAGAGGGATTGAGGGCCCTGCTCAGTGAGTTTACATGTTAGAGGGAGTGGGGTATAGTGACACAGTAACAGAGGGATTGAGGGCCCTGCTCAGTGAGTTTACATGTTAGAGGGAGTGGGGTATAGTGACAGTAACAGAGGGATTGAGGGCCCTGCTCAGTGAGTTTACATGTTAGAGGGAGTGGGGTATAGTGACACAGTAACAGAGGGATTGAGGGCCCTGCTCAGTGAGATTACATGTTAGAGGGAGTGGGGTATAGTGACACAGTAACAGAGGGATTGAGGGCCCTGCTCAATGAGTTTACATGTAGAGGGAGTGGGGTATAGTGACACAGTAACAGAGGGATTGAGGGCCCTGCTCAGTGAGCTTACATGTTAGAGTGAGTGGGGTATAGTGACACAGTTACAGAGGGATCGAGGGCCCTGCTCGGTGAGTTTACATGTTAGAGGGAGTGGGGTATAGTGACACAGTAACAGAGGGATTGAGGGCCCTGCTCAGTGAGCTTACATGCTAGAGGGAGTGGGGTATAGTGACACAGTAACAGAGGGATTGAGGGTCCTGCTCAGTGAGTTTACATGTTAGAGGGAATGGGGTATAAGGGATTGAGGCCCTGCTCAATGAGTTTACATGCTAGAGGGAGTGGGGTATAGTGACACAGTAACAGGGGATTGAGGGCCCTGCTCAGTGAGCTTACATGTTAGAGTGAGTGGGGTATAGTGACACAGTTACAGAGGGATTGAGGGCCCTGGTCGGTGAGTTTACATGTTAGAGGGAGTGGGGTATAGTGACACAGTAACAGAGGGATTGAGGGCCTGCTCAGTGAGCTTACATGCTAGAGGGAGTGGGGTATAGTGACAGTAACAGAGGGATTGAGGGCCTGCTCAGTGAGTTTACATGTTAGAGGGAGTGGGGTATAGTGACACAGTAACAGAGGGATTGAGGGCCCTGCTCAATGAGTTTACATGCTAGAGGGAGTGGGGTATAGTGACACAGTAACAGGGGGATTGAGGGCCCTGCTCAGTGAGCTTACATGTTAGAGGGAGTGGGGTATAGTGACACAGTTACAGAGGGATTGAGGGCCCTGCTCGGTGAGTTTACATGTTAGAGGGAGTGGGGTATAGTGACACAGTAACAGGGGGATTGAGGGCCCTGCTCAGTGAGCTTACATGTTAGAGGGAGTGGGGTATAGTGACACAGTAACAGAGGGATTGAGGACCCTGCTCAGTGAGCTTACATGTTAGAGTGAGTGGGGTATAGTGACACAGTTACAGAGGGATGGAGGGCCCTGCTCAGTGAGTTTACATGCTAGAGGGAGTGGGGTATAGTGACACAGTAACAGGGGGATTGAGGGCCCTGCTCAGTGAGCTTACATGTTAGAGGGAGTGGGGTATAGTGACACAGTAACAGAGGGATTGAGGACCCTGCTCAGTGAGTTTACATGTTAGAGGGAGTGCGGTAATGTGACACAAAAGGTAAGGGTAGAGTAAAAAAGTAGGTTGCTAGGATAGTGTTCATTGAGGGCTTAGTGTTTTGTTTTGATGACAGGTGCAGGAGAGGAATCAGGGTGCGGGGAGGGAAAGCTGTTCACAGTTTAATTGATATGCTTTCCTAAAGAAGTAAGTTTTCAAACATTTTTTGAAGGAGTGGAGATTTTCAAAACGTTTTCAACATTTTTTGAAGGAGTGGAGATTGGGTGAGAGTCTAACAGGTGTTCCATAGGAACGGTGCAGCCCTAGAGAAGTCTTTAAGGTGAGCATCAGAGGTGGGAGTACGAACAGAGGTTAGACGTAGGTCTCCGGCAGAGCGTAGGGGCCTAGATGGGGCATGGTTGTGTAATAGTGAGGATAAGAAGGTTGGAGCAGCATTGTGTAGAAATTTGTAAGCAATAACCAGGATCTTAAATTGAGTGCAATATCTTACAGGTATTACATCTGTCTGTCTGTCAGTCAATCTTCAAAGTGCATTTACAAGGTTTGACAGTGGAAGAAGCTCATTTACTGTGAATAAATTATGTATATTTTACATAATTTCCATGACACAGTATCAAGTTCAGATTTTCAAGATCTTAAAAAAATAATCCCCACTCTAGTGTATAAATACATATAGATACATATATACTCATACAATGTAGTGTAGGGGCACCAGGACTCTCCTGTCACAATAACCACTGCAGTGATTATGGTTCTTGGAGTGTTCATTTTACAGAGAGTTACGACTGGTGGTCTGTCCAATATACCCAATATTGCATGGGGAAAAGTATGCTAAAAAAAAAGCCAATTTTGTAAATTCAGATGTCCATTATTAGCAATGTGGGATATGTGAAGGTGGCAGTCACAGTGTTACAAAGTACAATTTAGGGAGTTATCTGTTAGACTGCTGAAAGATCAAAGTTAATAAAAGTCCTTTTCGTCATATTGACCTTTCAGTTGTTTCGTAGATCGCTTCCTAATTTGCTATTCTTATCAAAATGAATGCATCCAAAATTAATCAATTTCGATTTGTCCCAGATCCATTTGTTTTAGTTTTCATTTTCCATCGATTCGGAAATTTGGGAGTGTTTATACCTGAAGAAGACTATAATCTTAACCCCAGAGTTCCCCTTAAGACCGTAGACCAGTAAGTCACTCACATCTGTATAAAGGGGAGCTATACCGAATGTCCTGATGGGGTTTTATACCATCTTTTTTCACGTTTATAAGAAAAAGATTAGTTCTACATTCTGTGCTAATTCCAAAGCTATGGGGTTCATTTAAAATATAGTATACATTCAGCTCACTGTTCATGACCTTGAAGCAGGGTCAACATACCTGAACTATCACTTTTATTTTTGGATGTGATTATATCTTAAAATAATTGCTGCAAATAGTCATACTAGTCAAACGGGTTTACCAGAAAAATCCCACAGTCTGTATCAGCATGATTTGTCAAAAAACAGTGTTACGTGGTTTACACTTCTATAAAGATACAGTCACTGTCACTATTAAATACATATATTTTAATATTGAATTATAAAAAAACTTCAGAGAAGATGCTAAATATTTAACATTTCTCAAATATTGCCTTCATATAGACTGCTTTACGTAGATTAGCAATGATGGACAACTTGTTGCAATGAAGGATGTATATGATGGACTTGTGAACCACTGGCATTTTTTTTTCCGCTGAATCCCTTCTGCCAGAAAGAAAAATAATCTTCAGGATGGCAGAAATTCGCCCATGTGGCGGTATGGCTTTGCCAAATTTCATTAACAAAGAAAGATTCTGGAAAACGAAACAGACACAATCTAAATGTGCGGAAATTGGCCAGTCAGTATGCTGTAAAGATGGTATCCAATCCTTGGAGCCTCCATGGATTGGATTTGTTGTTCCAGCACATCCCACAGATGATCAATCAGATTGAGATCTTTGGAATTTGCAGGCCAAGGCATCACCTTGATTCTTTATGTTCCCCAAACCATTCCTGAACAATTTTTATGTGTGAAAGTGTGCTGAAAGAGGCCACTTCCATCAGGGAACACCATTGTTATGAAGGGATGTACATGGTGTTCAACAATGTCTTGGTAGGTGGTATAAGTCAATGTAGCATCCACATGAATTCCATGACTCAAGTTTCACACAAGAGCATAACACTGTCTCCACCAACCTTCCTTCTTCGCAAAATGCATCCTGCTGCTATCTCATTCCCAGGAAACTATGTACACGCACCCAGCCATCCACCTGATCTAAAATAAAACATGATTCATCAGACCAGACAACCTTCTTCCATTGCTCCATGGTCCAGTTCTGATGTTCACATCCCCATTCCAGGTACGTTCAGCAGTCATCATGGGCACTCTGACCAGTCTGCAGCTATGCAGCCCCATATGAAGCAAACTGCGATGTACTGTGTGTTCTGACATCTTTCTGTCATGGACAGCATTATGTTTTTCATCAATGTGTGATACAGTAGCTCTACTGTGTAATCCAGGGGTAGTCAACCTGGTCCCTACCGCCCCCTAGTGGGCAGTTTGGGATTTTAGGTGGGCAGTGGTGGGTTCTGCAGAAAAAGCCCGATGGGCCTTGATGGCCATGGGCCAAGGTCCTTTTATGCAGAGCCAGCTTTGCTGTAAGCCTTCTCAGGCTGGTAAGGAGCTTGAACATCTCCCTCACCGGTCCCCTGGCACTTAGTTCCAGCAGAAGGAGATAAGGTCCTGGGAGGCTCTGTTTTCCTCCCGCGAGCAGACTGGTCAGAGCGTTGCAGTGCGCTACCATGGCAACGCTTCGATACAGTGCTGTGCTCGCAGGAGGACAGGAGAGTCAGCCTGGAGCCTGAGGAGCTGCATGCTAAAGTGAACATGCCCCCACTGGACCACCAGGGCTTACAGCATTATCTCCCCCTCCCTGGTAAAAAGTAAGAAGGGAGGGTGAGACATTAAGATAGATTTTCACATCTCACCCACCTACACACAACATAGACCCTATGCATCCTTTACACATACACACACTACACCCCACACACACTTCCCCCCCTCACTCACACTGTACTCCTCACACACAGACTGCTCCCTCACCCATACACACACACTGCCCCCCTCACTCACACTGTACTCCTCACACACAGACTGCTCCCTCACCCACACACACACTCTGCCCCCCTCACCCACACACCACTCCCTGACACACACTGCACTTCTGACACACACTGCAACCCCCACTCACACTGTACTCCTCACACACACACTGCCTCATATTGCACCCTTCACTCACACTTCCCCAGTGTCTCTGACACACACACACACACACACACACACACACATTGCCCCCCTCACACACACTACCACATCACACACACTCCACCCTTCGTATACACATCACCTCTAACACACACACTGCACTCTTCATATACACATCACCTCTAACACACACACTGCACTACACACACACACACACACACACACACACACACACACACACATACAGCATCCATCAAACACAGCACCCTTCACAAACATACAGCATCCATCACACACACTGCACCCTTCACACACACTGCCCCCCTCACTGCACCTCTCTCTCTCACACACCAACACACACACACACACACATACTACACCCTTCACACACAGCACCTCACAGACACCCATAGGAAAAAAGGAAAAAAAACAGATAAATTACATATTTAAAAAAAAAAAATCTATAAAACTAGTTACTGCGGCACTGGTGGGTGGTAAGGAAATGTTACCATCAACACAGATACAAAAGTGGGCGGTAGGTATTAAAAGGTTGACTAACCCTGATGTAATCGAACCAGACAGGAGAGCCTTTGCTCACCAGGTGCATCAATCAGCCTGATGCCGATTAACCGGTTGTCCTTACTTTTGGTAGATACTAACCTCTGCATATTGGGAAAACACACAAAACTTGTCATTTCGGAGATGCTTTGACCCAGTCATCTAGCCATCACATTTTAGCCCTTGTCAAAGTCCCCTACACAGGTGCCGCTGTTACAATATAACCAATGTTATTCATTTCACCTGTTAGTGGTTTTAATGTTGTGCCTGATCAGAGTATTCTTACATTCTTATGATGGATACATTGTTATTTTGTTACATTGTTGGGATGGATACATTGCCATGATGGATACATTTTTATGATGGATACATGGTTAAATTGTTGGGATGGATACATTGTTACATTGTTGGGATAGATACATTGATATGATGCATACATTTTTCTGTTGCTATGCTGGATACCTTGTTACATTGTTGGGATGGATACATTGTTATGATGGTTACATTGTTGTGATGGAGACCTTGTTACATTGTTGTGATGGAGACCTTGTTACATTGTTGTGATGGAGACCTTGTTACATTGTTGTGATGGAGTTCTTGTTGTGATGGATACATTGTTACATTGTTGGGATGGATACATTGTTATGATGGTTACATTGTTGGGATGGATACCTTATTGTGATGGATACATTGTTCCGTTGTTATGCTGGATACATTGTTGCGATGG